GCATAAACCTCTTAGCATTACTATCTTGGCTTATTTCATATATGGTATCTCAACTCTATTTTGGTGGTATTGAAGGTCTTTGTGATTATTGTTTCTCTTGCAATTTAAAAATGACTATTGTACCAAAAGTTGTTATTACCTTGGCTTAAAAGTTTGTTTGTTTCACGAAACGAGATAATAAAATCTTAAATCTTTATTATTAATCATGTTAGATTAGCGAAATAAATATGTCTTGCTTAGGAAATTCAACATACAAAATTCTGATATTTGTGTTCAAGCCTTCAAGGCATATTCTGATAGATGAATTCAAAATAATAATATAAATTAGGAAAAAAAGTGAAGAGAAGGGACGACCAGTTACAGTTTTGAAAATCTTACTTCATTTAAGGGCAAAAACAAAAAAGTAATTAGCTTATCAGTGATTCAATGTTAAATGAATTTCGAAGGAACTTTTTTCTTTTTTCATCTCCAGGGGATCAGACTTGGATAGAGAAAATAAATAAACTCAGCAACCTCTTCATCGAGTGTGCAATGGCAAACTTTCTTACCTCTTCTCCAACAATTGCAATATGTACTTCTAAATTTTATAAGCTTTCATCTCAAAATTTAGCTTTAATATTGAAAATTCTCACTTTTGACAGACATTTTTGTTCTCTTGTAAAGAAAATAATTGGGTATCTTTTGTGTTATCAAAAAAATTAGAGTATATTGGATCACAATGGATAAATTTTACTATTTTGATATCTATCCTATAATTAATATCTTTTATAGACAAAACCTATGCAATAATTGTAGTCGAAAATGGTAGTTATTAGTAGAGTGGCACCAAAAATGGTTTTAATTATAGAAATCGATCAGGGCTTCATCCAATTGAAAAATTGCATCAAGATATGTCTCTAACAATAGTTATTGCTACACCTGAAATAGTGTATAGATTTGTGGTCTTGTTTATTGATAAATGAATTTTAGCGGCCAAAATAAGACTTATGTTTATCAGAAAAAAATGGATTAACCTCGACTTTTTTTAGTGAGAGTTGCAATATTATTCTTTTCCAAAATACCTATACATGGGATAGAAATGACTAATAGGATATGATTTGCAATATGATTCTTTTTCAAGTACACATTTATATTGTTTCAATTACCTCAAAAAATTATACTATAATGTTGATGTCACTATTTTTATATTTTTTTAATCTAAAAACTCGCGACTTGTTTTGTCAAAGATAGGTGAATTTTCAAGCTAAACACGATTCAAATATTCTCTATTGTTTGGGCTGCTTTCTTGTGTGTAAGACCCCCAATGTTTTTTAAGCATACATTTGATACTCTGATTAGAGTGTAAAGAAATAACTTGAAATTCTTTGTGCGAGAGTAGTAATAAAAAAATTGAAGATTCTCTTTGTACAAGAACCCAGAGGCAAAGAAGTACATATTAGATGAAAATAATGGCACTACCAGAAAACACCAAGTATGTATGGTATCAATTTTGATTTCTTACGCCCTATATTTATATCCTGTTCTTTTTATGATCTGAAAAATACTTGCATATTCTAAGGGTTGTGAAAGGTGATGCACAGTTCATATGGAGTTGAATACTTTTGACGCTGCAAAAATTTAATTTTATAAGGTGAATAATTTTATTTTATCAAGCTGAAACTTTATCCACTCTTGTGACAATTATTTTTATACTTTCTGTCCCATTACTTTCTTAATAATGGCTATTATGTTGTAATTTTGAAGTCAAAGAGACAACTAAAAGATTGAAAGGAAGCTTTTAAAAACTCTCTCTATATTTCAGAGCTTTAAGATTTATAAGGAGAACTTTGGGTCTTTTGAAAATTAGCGACAGGTTGAGTATTGAGAAAAGGAAGGGAAATGGGAGGGGAGGTAAGGCAAAAAAATGAAAATGGAAAAGGCACCTTGACTTTGAAAACTCAAAGGTCAAGTAAGGGAAGCACAAGATAACTAATGGCAAGGGCCATAGATAGAGAGTAATAAAGGGCAAAGAGAAGCTTTCTAGCTTGCTCCAATCCAGATTCAGAGATGCAGAAGTCCAAGAAAACCGTCAGGCCAATTGAGTGACACAAGTGCATTTGACAAGATGGAACAAATATTGATTGTTGCAGGTAAGTTACTAATTCATTTGACAGTATACATAAAAGAACTGATTTTTTAAAATAATTTTTTTAGCTAAAACTCCTCTAAACTTTGTGTAGAAGCTTTAACGGTGATAATTCATGTGTGATTAGTCACCAAGACGGATTGTCGAAGTAAAATCTGCATGAGGCTCATAAAAAGATTGTTTTCTTAGTTTGTAGTTATTACTTGAATATGTTAGTTAGTGTGTCAGTTGTGTAAGTTATTTTGTAGGTCCGGTGTTTTATATGTTGGGTGAGAACTCTTAAGTTTCTGCTATATGCAAGTCTTATTTGTGTTTTGTATTGAGTACATTTGTTGAAAGAATTTGTGCAAATGATGTAGATGGGATATGTTTTGATACTTTCGATTTTAGCCCGAGATATTTATTTCATATATCATTGTGTTGTCGAAAAATGCATTGTTTCACCTGTGAGAGCTAATAAGGATATCCTGATTCTTCTTTCTTTAATTATATATAATGAAATAATTATTAAATATTGAGTTTGGGATATCTGTAAATAATATAAAATAAAACAGAGTATTTATATTTATTTAAAAAAATTATATATGGGTTGATATTCTAAAAGTTGCATATTAAGCATTTGAATATCGACCTTTTGTAGAGCCTGGTGATAAGAGCAAGGAGCTTGAGGAGAAAAAGGTATTTTCGTTAGTTTTAGTTTTTAGTTTTTAGTTTTTGCTTCCCTTACTCTGCACTTCTTTGCTTGCGCGCAAATTCAAATGTTCTCTTTTTCTTGTAACAAGTTATTTTACAGCTATGATGTGGTCACCTTCTTTTCCAATAATAATTAATGGCTTATCTCCCTTTTTGTGTTTGGTGATTGCCTTGTTTGTCTGCTTTAGGAGTCAATTCTTGAATTTGATATGCTAATCTTATTGTGAGTTGCTACTTTAATTTTTTTTACCTCTTTTCTTGATCTATTCAGTACTTTTGCATATGAGGATCACCATAATATAATATATATAAATCATCTATTTACTTGATGTTATGACTTCTATATATTGTTAATATTTTTTATATTGATATTTACACATATACACGTTAGGTGTTTGAAGAAATGTGACTATATTTTTTAGCATTGTACAATAGTTGTCATATGATAATTTCTTACAAATACAAAAGTGGGATTCTAAAAAAGGAAATAGTATACTCTATATCCTCTGTGGTGCAATGAGTTGTCACCGTTCACTATGTCGATCCTAGCAAAATTAGCATATTCATTCCACATATATCTATTATATGACATGGGGCATTATTGATGAGCTTCAACATTCTTTGTCTTGGTGTATCTATCTAATTTCAGTTTGTACGAAGCTTTAGGACATACAAAGAGAGTAATGGTCCTGTGCGTAAACTTATAAGATGACTTAAGAGTATTTTTTCTTATATGGCAGCCTGCAATTTTCAGTACTAAAAGTTTTTGTTAATAGGTAGAATTAAGTGCAGAAAAGAGAACATATATTGTTACAATTTGTATTTGTGACATAACGCGATGTATCCGATAGTCCCAATAGTCTTAGTATGTCTAAACCTATCCTCTTCACCCAACAATTTCGCAATCCCAAAAATTCACTTTAAAATGGTCAACCATGTTTTCATATAGCAAAATGATGCTAGACTTCAAATTATAATGCACCACTGGCTGTGAATAGGCATTATGGAGACTAAATTGGGTATATTGTTGTTGTATGTTTAGTGGTAGTACTTAAGTAGAACGAGTTACATTAGACTTCAAACATACCTAAGTATCTAATAGTTTTAGCTTCATACCTCATTTGTTGTGCTAAGAATTAGTATCCAGGAAATCAACTGTTTTGTCACTTTAAGAAGTGAACTATTGTGAAGCTGTGTAACTATGTTTGCAAGGTGCTGAAGCGAAGCACCTTTGAGAAGCGAGTGCTTTGGCAAAGCGATGTTAAAGCGTGAAGTAGTATGAAACATCTTCCTTTATATTTTTAACCTTTAAAAAGCTTATTTCTAAGCAAAAGAAGTTTGACATCAAAATTTTACATTTCACATCTTCTCCGATGATTGACTTTCAGGTAAACATCTTTTCTATCTTCTTCTTTCTTCTTCTACTTCTCCATCTAGCTATGTTTTCTTCTTCTTTCTTCTCCAGCGCTCTCTGTTGTCTGCGCAACTCTGGCCTCTTGTTTTTCTTTTCTTTCATCTTCTACTTTCTCCATCCTAATTTCAAATGTAACATGTGATTTTGATAGCCAATTCAGAAGAAATTGATCACAACATATAAGATGCTCTGTTAGTGTTTGATTTATAAATAGTATATATAGGTGTAATTAGTACTTTCACATATGTAAATACTCAACTACGTAAATATTCCACTTCAACATCCAATAGTATGACGTTCGCAAAATATGTAGAAATTTTGCAGTTACTATGTTTAAGATAGTAATATTTTAATTTACTTTATATAATGGTGTTTATATGTGATTTGATCATTTATATTAATCAATTTTAGACCATGAATGAGACTACACGTTGACACGGGCCACACTTATCTAGTACTCCGTCCGTTTCACAAAGAGTGACCTGGTTTGACTTGGCACAAAATTTTAGAAAATAAAGAAGACTTTTGAATTTTGTGGTCCTAAATTAAAGTTATGTCAAATGTACTAAATTATCCTTCAATCTTGTGGCTTTAAACATGCCACGTGGAAAATTGAAATTAAAATGTTACTAAAAAAGGAAAGAGATCAACTTTTTGAAACAGACTAAAAAAAAAGAAGGTCATTCTTTGTGAAACGGATGGAGTATATGATAAAAGGGCGATAACCACACACGTGGTCGACATGCCTGTGTTATCAAAGAGGACATTTTCGGTTCACCACGTGCAGTCCAATTTCTTACAGCTATCAATCCGTGGCTTCTCGCCTATTTTTTGTGCTTCATCTTCGTCTTCATCTTCTCAACTCCACTGTTGATTTCTGTTGCAATTCTTTACCTTTTCGCCTAATTCTTTGCGCTTCTTCCATAGTTCATCTTGCGTACGAATTTTATTGGCGAGTGCCTTGCTTCTCTGTGCTTCTGTGGAATTGTGGATTCTCTGTTTTCCTCTTTGTGGTCTACCGTACATTGTATTTCTTGTATGTGTTTTACTTTTGTTGTTACTCCCAAGTGTTTTTGTCAAAATTCCTCATTGAATCTTATATGTAATTTTTGCAGAGCTTGAGAATTTTTACCCCCAAGTGTTTGTCAAAATTCGTCATTCAATCTTATATGTAATTTTTGCAGAGCTTCAGAATTGTACCCCGAAGCGTTTGTCAAAATTCCTCATTGAATCTTATATGTAATTTTTGCAGAGCTTAAGAATTTTTTTTATGAAGTGCACCGGCTGATTTACCATAACCATATAGTAAAAGTAAACTAAGCTAAACTAAACTCCGATATTAGTTCCTTAGAAGGACGCAAGCAATAGGTCTTGCAGGTTGTTTTTCATCCCTCTTACTGTAGTGATAACGAAGATGGGTGCTTAAAGCTAAAGCAAATTTCCTAAGTTTTAATTAATAATAGTGAATGAATCTTTATACTTGCTAAATTCTTGTGCTTGCTTTGATTTTACTGTGTTCCTTTTCAGCTTCGCGCAGGCCACTTAACATACTCATTGTAACTACACCTTACTCAATAAGTTCCCACCATGTTATGAGAACTACTAATGTATTGAATGGTATGCTGCTACAGGAATTTAAATTGGTAAATAATAATCAGGTGGCATCGTATTGAGTACTTAATAATACCTAATAAATATTTCTCCCTGATAAGAATTCCTCGGTAATGTTCATATAGTCTTTCGATGTTACTACAGACGTTAAACTATTATTTTTGAGGATGGTGGTTACACTTACCCATTTACTATTGTTTCAAACATATAATATTGTTTACCTCTTCTCTAAATCTACAGGTATAAACAGAAATTAAATTCCACATCTGATGGATTCCAAAAAAACGAACGACTGGCTGCTATGCAACTCAAACGGCGTCTGCTCACAAAAAGGAGGTGCTGTTGCTATCTCGCTGTCTGAAAACAGATTCTACAAGGCATAATCTTCTTGAAAATCCCACTATTGACACGCCAATGCTGCAAACATCATCTTGGTACAGAGACGGTTTTCCAAAACAGACTGCACTTATCATCCGAGAACCTCCGGGGCTCTCTGAAAAAGGTTTTCATTTTTATTAGCTTAATACTGCCAACTCTGCCACCCGATTTCTAATGAGAGTAGTCCACATTGTCTATTCTAGACTTCTTGGTATCCCAAGATTAAAGGCTAAAAAAATAACTGGAAAACATGAATCTGAAAGAATATTATGGAGAAACTATTACCTCACGCTCGAACCAAATTGAAAGAAAAGAGGCGGGGATACTTGACCATCATATCTGCTTTTACTTCTCAAGTTGCCCCTTACAGGAATAATGACTATGCATATGGACAATCTAACCCTTATCAGCAAAAACCCAGGGTATATAAATGTTACTACATTTTAGAGACATTAACTATTAGAGTCAAGGTCTTGCTGTTGTTTTATTTATTACTTGTTGTCTTGTATGCCTTCATTTTCTTACTGTCATGTTATTCTTACTGCACATGTCTTCATTTATAAATGTTGTGTTTTTTCTTTCCTTGTGACGAAGGTCTACTGAAAACAGCTGCCATATGTGAACTTATGTTCCATCTCCTCAGTTTGAGGCAGAGCTTGGTGTGCTGCAACTTGCATACTGGCTGAATTGAAAGAACTGAACAAGTGTTTATACACGTTTCTTGCTTTAATTTGTTTACATCATACTGCAGATGCTAATATGTTCTTTGCCTCTGCAGAGATAGAGTAGTCAGGAACTATCAACATGTATATAAAACAGCTAACTCTACTAATGGCATCTTCGTGGATGATGTTGTCCAACACGAAGGTCTCAGATGATCTCCAAACTAAATCAGCAAATGAGAGTGTTATTTCTGCGTAAGCTGTATGTTATCTAATATGATAGCGAAATAATATACCTTTACCTCTTATAATCCTCATATATATGTTCATGTTCTTTGGATGCTGACTTCGTTAGAGTGCTTCATACTGATTTTCCTTGGATAATTTCAGCTTCTGTCGCGTGTACTGGCTCACGCTCTCATTTACTTTGAAATGGGATTTCTCTTTGGTTCCTCCTTCAGCTTCTTCTCATTCCCGGTGTGCTTTCCCTGCTCCTCCGTCCACTGATTTCAGGTAATACCTCTTTGGGATTTCTTGTGATGTGCCTTTAATCTGCTCAGATTGGTTTAGCTTTCATAACTTTCTCCAGTTTTCGTACTTTTCCCCAGTTTGCGTACCTTACTGTTGCTTAATATTATGTCGCTCTCCATTACTTGGAAAAGTCAGCTCATTTGCCTTCTTATCTGCATCTAGAAGCCTGAACTCTAACCCATCGCTTTACGCTCTCTCTCCTATTCAAAATAACCTCCTATTTTTGGAATATTCCTGGACTTTAAATAGGTGATAGACAGTGTAAAACAGAATAAAGTAAAAAGTTTAATTTTTAACGGTTAAAGATTTTAGATGAAACATTTAAACATGCTTCAGCGTCATCTTTCCTCTATATGTACACCACTGTGTAATTCAGTTCTTAATATACATTTTTTCTGATAATTAGGCTGTAAGGTTAATTGGTACTGATAGATGTCGGTGTGGGACTACATTTGTGGAAGGAGAGGATTTTATTGGTGAGAACATCACCTTTGAAATATACTCTATATTTTTTTCCTTTTTGCTCTTTGCAATTGGTGCATGTAGATTCATCTTGCTTCCTTTCTTTTTGGTCTTCTGCAATAGGGATCAGGACAGGCAGTGGCAATCAGAATTACTGCTGATCGTTGTGCATTTTATAATTGCAGATTCCTTAGTTCGCAGGTGCATATAGCAAGAAATGCCTTAGCAGCACGTATACCGATTAAATACTTAGCTAAAATTCTCTGTGGTTCCTCCTTCAGCTTTCTTTCATTCTCGATGTGCTTCCCTGCTCCTCCGTCCACTGATTTCAGGTAATACCTCTTTCGGATTTGTTGTGATGTGCCCTAAATCTGTTCAGCTTGACTCCGTTAATTAACTTATTCTTTCTACTTCCGATGTAAGTCAATTGGTTTAGCTTTTATGGATCAATCACATTTTAATAACAAAAGAGATTTCCATTGAAATCCTGAGATGCCACAAAATAGGAGAATACAACGCCCATATGGATTTGTACAATGATATTAAAAAATCTTATCTCTTTAAATCACCACTCGACTAATTAGATGCTTTTATTAGCAATACAATAGCTCCAACAATGGAGAACAAGTTAACAGAAAGTGAACATGTAACTCTTTTTTTTGGTAAATTAAAATTTTATTACCAAAAGTGGACATTACAAAGCAGAAAAAAAAAAAGCAGACTTGGACACTTAGCCCCAAGACTTGCTTACTATTCCTATTACATCTCCTATCTCTTACTTACAGTACTATGGATACACATTTAATTCTTGTAATCTACTACTAAGCTTCCTCTGTTGAGAGCCTCTTCCTTGTATTTCTTGTATAATAAGCCTGATCATAGCCTCCTCATTCCTCCTCTTGTTTTGGAAAATTCGGTAGTTACATTCCCTCCATAGATGCTAAATCGTGCCTGCCAAAGTCATCCTGTATACTTGTGCTATACTATTCCTTCGAGTCATATGTTGGATTGCCCAGTTGATTTCTCCTTGCCAATTCAATCCTGTTCTGCATATTCCTTGCCAAGCCAGCAGCCTGTTCCATATAAATTGCATTCAAAAAACAAATGATCAATGTCTTCATCTTCTTGCTGACACAGTGGACATGTTACATCAGTTATTATCCCCCATTTTTCCATTCTATCTTTGGTTGAGAGTCTCCGGTGAAGTGCTATATATAGTATGAAGGTCCATTTTGGTGCCCCATAGTTAGCCCAGACCAGTTTCCTCCACTCCACTTTCTCAATATCTCCTCTCATCTTTCCATATACTTCTGTAATAGAATACTTTTCCATTTGCATCAGACTTTGTTCATTATATCCAGCAGCTATAAAGTGTTTGTATGCTTTAAATATTCTCTACACTAGCCATGATGCTTGCTTAGCCTGTTTGCCCCAGATCCCCTCTTGTCCATAATAGCTATCTATCCATTCAACCCAAAGTTTATCCTTCTTTTTGCATAGATTCCACAGTAACTTCCCAATTGCTGCATTATTCCAGGTGAACACATCAAGAAAAGACATACCTCCACTTGCTTTAGGCCAACATAACTTTGTGCTTTTTTTGATGCCTCTACATTCCCTGTGATGCTCTCAATAGCATGAATGATCTTCTTAGGTAGTGCAAAAATTTGTGCCCAAAAGGTTTGTATAGAGAACAACAGTCTTCACAAATTATGCTCTTCCAGCATAGGATAGGAACTTTGTTGTCCAGCTTGTAATTCTACTCAACATTTTATCAATAAGAGGTTTGCATTGGACTACTGACATTCTTTTAGTACTCAAGGGTACCCCTAAGTACCTGAATGGTAGTGCTCCTTTCACAAATTGCAGCTCCTGTAGGATTTGGTCCTGAACTGTTTCCTTTACTCCCTCCAAAATAGACACTAATTTTATCCACATTTGCCACCAGCCCTGATGCCCTAGAGAATTCCATAAAGCACTTGTATAATTGTCTCACAGACTTTGTATCACCTCTACAAAACATCAATAAGTCATCAGCAAAACTCAGTTGAATTATTCTTTGCTTCTTACACCTGGGATGGTAATGGAATTCTGGATTATTATCCAACTTCTTCAAGTTCTTTGTGAGATAGTCCATAGCCAACACAAATAAAAAAGGTGACATGGGGTCCCCTTGCCTAACCCCTCTTTGAGCTTTGAATGGTTTTGTAGGCTGACCATTAACCATAAAGGAGTATGTTACTGTTGTGACACATTGTAAAATCCATTGGATCACATTTGCTGGGAACTTCATCTCATACAGTATTTACTCCAAGAAACTCCATTCAATTGAGTCATAGGCTTTCTTCATATCAACCTTTATCATACATCTAGCAGATATACCCTTCCTACTATACCCTTTCACAAGCTCATGGCTCAGTATGATGTTGTCATTGATTGCTCTTCCTGGCACAAAAGTTGATTGATTTGGATCCACTAAAGATCTCATTACCCTCTGCAGCCTTGTTGTAATCACTTTTGAAATGATCTTATACACTCTTGTGCAACAAGAGATAGGCCTAAATTCTCCTATTCTTATTGGGCTGGCAACTTTTGGGATGAGAGTCACTATTGTGCAATTAATGGGCTGATACATGTGCCCTGTTTCAAAAAAACTAAGTACAGCATTCAAGACATCCTCTCCAATCACTTTCCAAGCCTTTTTAAAAAAACAAGCATTAAGACCATCACAAGCATTAAGACCATCAATTCCTGGTGCCTTCAAATCATGTATTCCTTTGAGAGCATTTACCACCTCCTCCTTTGTCACCTTTGCTGCTAGGAATACTTGTTGTTCTTCAGAATGTGACCTTGTCTCATTGTATCAATGTTAACACTAGGTATCCTTTGAGCAGCCTTCCCAAGTAACTCTTTGTAGAATGTACACACTTCTCTTTCTATTTTTCTTGTGTCTGGGCTATACATTCATCTGCTGTTATCAGACTATTAATTGTATTTTGAGCCACCCTGCTCTTCATTTGTTCAAAGAAATAAGCATTATTTGCATCTCCCAGCTTCAGCCATTGATTCCTGGATTTCTGTTTCAGAACACTTGCTTCAATGACACTCCACTTCTCTAAGTTTATTTGTAGTTCCTTCTCCTGCTGTCTATATAAAGCTACTGTTGTCGGATCCCTCATGTTCTCCTGTATAGTTTTCAATTGGCTTCTAATATCTTCCATTTTCTTCCTGACCCCCTTAAACTCTCTATCATTGATTTGCTTGAGACTTATCTTCACTTTTTTTAGCATATGCCATACCTCATTCATATTCCTTTTCTGTCCTCCATACTATACTTTTTCCACCCTTGTTATGAACTCAGGATGATCAGCAATACAATTAAAAAATTTAAAGGCCCTATGCCTGATTCTTGCACTCTTATCTAATTCCAGACTCAAAGGAGTGTGATCAGATGTACCTGGCTGCATAACATTTACCTCTAATTGTCTCATATTCAACATCCATTCAGCATTTACCACTGCTCTATCAATCTTGCTACATGTATTCCCATTAGACCAAGTAAAATCCCTTCCTACTGCTTTCATTTCTGTCATACCAGCATCCATCATAAAATCATTAAAATCTTTTATTTCTACCTCCTGCACTGGCCTACCTTGCTTTCTGTCATCACCTGAAAGAATAGCATTAAAATCACCCATACATATCATAGGCACCTGCACATTTGAGACCAGTTTCTTCAGATCCTCCCATAATTGTTTCCTTGTGTGTATAGTATGTAAACCATAGACTGCCACCAAGCAAAATATCATATTATTTCTTTTCACTTCCACACTACTATATATATATTGATCAGATTTACTCAAGATTTTACAGTCAAGAACTGTAGGATTCCATAGTAACCATATCCTTCCTTTATCAGTGTACTCATAGTTTGCTTCCCACTTCCACCCTGTTGCTATTTTTTGTATTACTTTCTCAGCTAATTTTTCCATAATTTTGTGTTCTAATACTACTATAATTCCTACATTATTCTCCTTCATAAACAATTCAAGTTCCTTTTGTTTATGAAGTTTATTTAGCCCTCTTACATTCCATGTGACCAGCTTCATGTGACTTGGTTATGACTTTCACCTGCTATCCCTGTATTCCCTTTTGATCTTGATTCCTGCTCCATGCTTCCTAAAGCTCCAAAACCATTTAACACCCTTACTGTTGTGCCTTGTGCCACTAAATTACCTCTAGTTGCTGTTCTTGGACTTAATTGCCATGCCCCTGCTTCTTCCACTTCTTTTTCCTTCCTTTTTACATTTATCTCAGTTTCTGCTACTTCAGTTGTCTCAATCACTGTTTCTTCATTTGTCTCAGTTGTTGGTTTCAAGCCACCCACCATAGTTTGTTTCTGCACCCATTTATTGACCATCTAGGAGCTACCTTGGGTTTGTTACCCTCCTCCTTATTGCATTGATGTCCCACTTGCATACATTTAGTATAGTATTCTGGTATCCATTCATACTGAACAGCTTGCTCAAATACTCTTCCATTTGGGTCCTCCACCTTGAGTTTCTTTGGCAATTCTCTTGCAACATCCATTTCTACTAGTACTCTAGCAAAAGATATCCTTTCAACCTTAGTCGTACATTCATCAGCATATAGAGGCACCCCTAATCCACTACTAATTCTGCTAAGAGAATCTTGACTCCAGCAACTTAGAGGTAAATTAGGATATTTCACCCATATTGGCACTGTTTGTAATACTTCCTTATTAAAATCAAATTCAGCACTCCAAACCTTGACTATTATGGGCTTATTGTTCATCATGTGAGGCCCCGAATATAGTACTTCATTTCTATCATCCAAATTAGCAAACCTAACTAAGAAATATCCATCATTGTGATAGTACACCTTAGGTTTACTTACCGTGTTAACCTGCAGAGCAATGTATCTCTCAGTTGCTGCAATTGTAGGAGATTCCCCAACTACGTACAGGATTAGGGCTTGCTTCCACTCCTCGGTTGCTTTTTCAATTTCTTCTTTCTTCAACTCAATGACCTGCTCTCCATTTCTCATAATTGGATTGATATAATTCAGACCCATCCCTTTAGCTGACATTCTATTAGAATTGAAGAAACTCGCCCATTTCTTTGGCTCATCATTCAAATCTATCTGCCTCTGTGTCGTCTCGCAGGACCCTCTCTTGCATCTCATTTGGTTGGCTTGTGCTCGTTCCTTCCTGCTTTCCACTACCCAAATTGACTACTGGTTGCTTATTCCCACCTGTTTTAGGGGTCACCTCCCTCTAAGGCAGAGGTGGCCACTGTTCCATTGGTTCACTCCCTTGATTCACCTCCATTCCTTGTGGGTACTCCAGATTCACACTCTCCCTCCTTGTAGGTGTCACCACCAGCTTTGTTACTTCTTTTCTCTTCCTTCCTCTCGCCATTCCGTCCGGTGGGCTCACGTTAGCAAGTCACGCTATCATGCAACTCTTCAGTGCACTTAATTCACACATCTACTTAATTTCTTCGTTAAAAGTGGGTATCTGGAAAAAAGATTCAAGATTTGAAGTTTATGAACAGTTGTACCTACCTCAACTTAAGTTAAAGTATTTGAGGCATAGAAGTAATTTGTTGATCAACTACTCTTCATGTTTATAGAACCAACCAAAGCTGTAGGTTAACAGCGTGAATTAGGATGTGCTCTTACTTCTTCGTCAACGACCTTCATAATTATTTACAGCAACATTTGTTCACTTTAACTTGAGCCGCATTACTGATGTGCTTTTATAACTGCATATGCAATGATGTTGAAGTTTTCGTAATTCTTTTACTTGCAAAGGTTATGTTAGAATTTCTTGAATGTATTGGTTTAAAAAGATTTTATATCACCAAGTTCCGACTGTTGAGTATTATTTCTTTTGAATTTAGCTCTTTTCAATAGATATTATATTTGATAACACGGGGTTCATTTGAATCATTTTTCTTAACTCTTAAGCATTCACTTGGTTTTAATACACCTAGAGGTCTTGTAATTGTCTACATTGCAGGCACTTCTTGCTTTTTATGTGATCAATGACCTGCAGATGAGTCTATCTTCAAAAGCTTTGGTATCTTTCTAAGCATTGTTTCCATTTAAAATAATAACCTTTTATTTGAAGAGAAGGGAAGGAAAGAAACACGATGCTAACTCTTGTTCCTGTACTTAATTGACGTGCATAGGGTCCCTTGTAATTTTATCTTAGCAATTTTTCCTGTTACAGCATATCTATTTTCTGCCTTAAACTTGTAAAGAACACAGATCGGTGAGTAATCAACCATAAAGCATCAATTATTAACTGAGTAGCTTATTTAGTTTCTACTATTCCACGACGAAGCCAAGCTCTTGATTGTGTCATCAACTGGGAGAAATAGTGAAGGAGTATGATTTATGATACTTATTCTACAATTACAATCTTCATGTGCACCTCTTTCCGATGTAATTTAACAGGTAACTGGAGTGAGAGCATGCAAAGTGTCTTCGTTGGCCGAGATCTCAATGACTCTACTTTTGTGTGCAGATCATTGAGGTTTATGGCTAAAATGATATGTGAGATTACCTCATTTAAAACTAAAAGATTCACTCTTTTCTTATTAACTTGTTACTGTAATGTAATTGACATAGGTGTGTCACTGACAACAAAATTCGACACAACAATTCAAATTGATCCACCTTATCCACAACGTCGGCAACTACAAGCATGGTACTACAATACTACATTACTTTCATATATATTCTCACTATCTTTTCCTATCACTAAATATTATCAACTATTAACATTTGTATTATATACAGGGTCACCGAGAACCGTCAATACTTACCTCCTTCACTCTCAGAAGTACATCCACATCAGGATTTCTCATCTCTCTTCCAATGGATGAAGAAGTGGTACCTATTGCAAACATTGACTCGCAACAAGATGTCAGTACAACATTTTCCCTTTACTTAAGTTCCAAATCTACTATAATAATTCTCTTCCTTATCTTTCTCCTAACACAGGGCCAGGCATTTACAATTGAGGCAAAAATAACCTTCCCCATTGACCTTAAGAAATTATATATGTTGGTCTGTTCAAACTGCGGACAAGACGTACGCTATCCAACCATAAGAGAAATTCATTGTATGAACTGCGACCAGAAAAATCTGTTAGTACCCAGGTACTTTATAATATGTATCTGCCTATATATTGTTTCACATTCTTCTTATTCAAAACATCAAATCACTACGTTTTACATATATAATACTGCAGGTGCAGGTTTGATGTGGATCTCAAAGATAACTCAGTCTCAACAATTGGAATAATTATGGATAAAGAAGGAGAAAAACTGTTGTCCCTTACTGCAGAAGAAATTTACAAAAGAGCTTCTGATCCGGTGCTACTTCTAATCAAATCATAATATGCATAATTCTCACTTAACAAATATAAATTACTGCCTCCTAAGGTAACTATCCACCTATGGAAGATGTTCAAGCTAACATTACCAACAAAATTTTCCATGTTCAAGCAAAGAAAGCATTTGCCCGTACTACATCCACTCCTGTGTCGAAAAGGAAAGTTTTGCAGATTCTCTTCTGTCACCAAGCACAATCAATATTCACGAAGGAAACAAAAGAAAACAGAAAGCAGAGCCACCCCACGTACCTGAACAAGCTGGATCACTCAAAATGAAACAAAAACCTCAGAAGAACAACTGAAGGTCATTTATGATTTTACGCTAGCTATTATAAATTAGGTCTACTGTTAAATCAATATTATATCACGCTTCCTCACTTTATTTGATGGTATATACTTCCCTATTTGGAAGTACATCTAGCAAAAGATGCAGCTCAGAAGATTGTTTTCCCAGCTTCTTAGAGATATAATAAGTAGTATGATGATGATTCTTATGAATCTCTGTTTCCACTTTCTGGCTAGCATGTAGTAGGCTTATTGGTTATTTTTGGTCAGCAGCTGCATGTAGGCTCGCAAAAGTAGCTTGCTGCTCCCCGTGTGTAAAATGGAAGACGAGTGTGTTAGAAAATTACCTCATGAGTAAAGATGTTTTGGGACCATTTATGTACAAAGTTTTTGAGGCATGTATGCACAAACCAAAAAGTTAGCAGGTCCTTTCCCTGTGAGATGTGAAAATTATAAAAGAGTTTGATGGTAAGTGCTATATTAGAATATATTAGGGAGTTAAGTTAGAATGCAGGAAGATAAAGTACCTGTTTTTCCACAATAGTCAGTAGTAGCTGCCAAAAAGTATTTCAATGACATTGAGGGTCATATGTACGGTTTAATTTTATAAGAACTGAATCCTCAAAACCTCATCAAATGCATTACCAAGTACTGTGCAAAAGCATAAACTCAAATGATAGATCATTGGAGCCTCCCTCTCTAATACAGGAAATGGAAGAGAAAGGCGTGTTGCATTATTTGAAGAGGGCCCATTTCAGTCTGTGATTTCAAAGCTAGCAAGAACACATTTATGGAAGTAAGATTTTTCCCCCTGAATGTATATAAACTCAATTGTGATGGTACATTCATTGTCTTGTTCATGAGAACTTGTAGCTAAACATTAAATCAAGAGAAACAGCTACGCGGCGTTTTTGTCCTTAGCGAAGGAAGGATTTTGTTGTTCTAACAAGTATAAAATTGCAAATGTTGAACTGAAAAGTAGAAGGCAGAAATGTAAAGATGTTAAAGAGAGGAAGAAGTTATAAATGAATGACCTTCAGTTGTTTTTTTGAGGAGTTGCTGGTTCCAGTTTCTGTTTCATTTTGAGTGATCCAGTTTGTTCAGGTACGTGGGGTGGCTCTGCTTTCTGTTTTCTTTTGTTTCCTTCGTGAATATTGATTGTGCTTGGTGACAGAAGAGAATCTGCAAAACTTTCCTTTTCGACACAGGAGTGGATGTATAATTTCACTGATGCTTCCTTCGTGAAATATTGATTGTGCTTGGTGACGGAAGAGAATCCGCAGAACTTTCCTTTTCGACACAGGAGTGGATGTATAATTTCACTGATGTTGTACGTGAAGTACGGGCTCGAACATGGAAGAGTATGTTGGTAATGTTAGCTTGAACATCCTCCATAGGTGGATAGTTACGCTAAGAGGGACAGTAATTTATATTTGTTAAGTGAGAATTATGCATATTATGATTTGATTAGAAGTAGCACCAGATCAGAAGCTCTTTTGTAAATTTCTTCTGCAGTAAGGGACAACAATTTTTCTCCTTCTTTATCCATAATTATTCCAATTGTTGAGCCTGAGTTATCTTTGAGATCCACCTCAAACCTGCACCTGTAGTATTATATATGTAAAACATAGTGATTTGATGTTTTGAATAAGAAGAATGTGAAACAATATACGGGCAGATACATATTATATAGTACGTGGGTACTAACAGATTTTTCTAGTCGCAGTTCATATAATGAATTTCTCTTTATGGTTGGATAGCATACGTCTTGTCCGCAGTTTGAACAGACCAACATATATAATTTCTTAAGGTCAATGGGGAATGTTTTTTTTGCCTCATTTGTAAATGTCTGGCCCTGTGTGAGGAGAAAGATAAGGATGAGAATTATTATAGTAGATTTGGAGCTGAAGTAAAGGGGAAATGTTGTACTGACATCTTGTTGCGAGTCAATGTTTGCAATAGGTACCACTTCTTCAATCTTCATCCATTGGAACAGAGATGAGAAATCCTGTACTCAATTGCATTCTTATTTAATGGGCGCAGGCTTAGGGCACGGCAAACTCCTGATGAGGTAGTATTGAAACATTTCACATCACTTGTATTGCTTGTTTTATCTCACATTCTTTTCTTCAATAGCTGGAGATGGAGGAGGGTGATGAAATCGATGCAATGCTACATCAAACTGGATGCTGCACTTGTTTCTCTAATTTTTAACGTGGTTTATGTTAGTAGATTGTTTAGGTGATACTTTCAACTCCCTCATATGCTCTAATTTATGAATGTTTAGTTTACTCTGAATTGTGTCTTAGCACCTCACTTTGCCTAATAACATTTCATACACCTCATAATAATATTATTGTACATCAAATTGTGCAAATGCCCAAAAATACGTTCTGACTGCGATACCGTATGGTTGATTAGATATGCTTGGAAACCCTAGAATCAACACAGAGTCAAGTGACTACTGAAGCAGAAACCTAGGCAAACCATCGTCAGACGCCTAAAGTTCAGAGTAAAAACACATGTCAAAACGGATAAATAAATTAAATTTTATTAATCACCCCAAAAATTAAAAAAAATACACAAATTTTAAAGGTAATTTGAAATATGAGTTATTAAAAATTTAGTAGTTTGAATTTGGAAATACTCTATAGTTATTATGTTATTTTACTTAATATTAGTTTTTAGTAGTTTGAATTTGTCATATAGTATGTTTTACAATTTTAGAAAGATAGATTTCTTTGTTGTTTATTGCGACTTCTAACATTTGTATTAATATACATTTAGTTCAATTTTTAAGTTTTAATTTACTTTTACGTAATTTTTATTGCATAATATATATGCAACCATTTCTTCAAGATTTCATCTTCATATCAAACTTTTCTTCCTATCTTCTTTTTATTATTATTTTTCTTCTATAAATTAAAGGCATCACTATCTCTCTTTTCAATTGTTTCGTTTGTCTACTCCATTTTCGTACATATTCAAGTATTAAGGTATTATCAAATTGTTTTGTTCATTTATTTTTATTTCAATACTTTTTCTTGGTCACAAACTTTAATTTTTTTTTATAAAAAATTGTAAAACAATTTGAACAATTAAGGCAGAACGTCTACATTCTTTTATATTTTTTTTAATGAAAAACAAATGTGGTTCATTCGTAATTAGGCGAACTGCAATTTCTTTTTATAAAAAATAGTATTTGTCAAACTCTTTTGTTTATGCTTCAAATATGAGTTTTAACATTCTCAATTATTTTTCTAGTTTATAATATTTCTTAACTTTTAACAATTTATTCATATTTAATTATTTAATGTTTTAAATATGATTTTTTTACAGAGACGTATATTTTGGTCCAAAAGTTTATGATGTGTTAACACTTCAAGCAAATTATCGTTCTCAGGCTATTTGGGATGACCAATTAAATGGACAAGTAGAATGTTTAAAAATTGTCCTGCTGATGCTGAATTTTAAAATCATATCAAGAAATATCCTTTACATCCTCGTATTCTTAATTACTTCAATTTGTGTGGGGTTTTAGAGGGGTGTTAGCAGTTGGAAATATCAAATGTGATCGAGGGCTTATTATTGCACCTGTTGAGTATTGACGTCCAATAACAAATATTTTTACATGCGTATGGGCAAATGTACCATCACATTGCAGGATGTGGAGATATATATCAGTTGGCTTGACTGTTGGAACACTTCAAAAATCAAAATATAAAGTAGAGAAAATAAAAGATGAATGAGAAAATATGAAGTAAATAATCTATATTTTTTGTTGAAGAAAGAGATATAGCTTCACATAAGAAGTTAATAAAAAGAATTGTAGTTTGTTCATTTTTGGAAAAACTACCTTCTAAATTATTTTAGGAGTAACTGCTGGAGTTAAATTTATTTTTCACAGTTTACCCACAAATATGCAAAGTATCCATTTTGATCTATAGTATTCAAAAAATGTTTGTTTTGGGACCGCAGTATATACTCCCAAAGCCGGCTCCATATTTCATTTTGACATGTTAATAAAACTTTGTTCATTTTAAGGACCCTATGCAGGATTTTGCTATATCATTTAGACATTTTCTTTACAATCAACAAAATATAATGTATGTGTGTTACACATTCATATATATTGTCAAATTAAATAAGGACATTTTGAGTTAAAAGTAAAAACTCTTTTAACAAGTCTATTTTTGGGTTTATTTTGTGAGGGGCTTTTCAAATTTTCATCTCAAATATTTCAATTCAAACGGCGGTGGTGTTTTCTCTAAAGATTTTGAGGCATTACTTATATATGGTGTTCATGTAGATGTGTTTACCGATCACAAGAGTTTGAAATATGTGTTCACTCAAAAGGATTTAAATTTTTACCGAACAAGATGGATTGAGTTATTGAAAGATTACGACATGAGTGTCCTCTATCATCCTGGTAAAGCGAATGTGGTGGCGGATGCTCTTGGTCAACTATATATGAGAAGTGTTGTTCATGTTGATGATGATAAAAAGGAGTTAGTCTGGGTTGACCCGATTGGGTGTTCGCTTGGTTGATTCTAATAAGGATGGTGTGATTATTCATAACGGATCAAAATTGTCTTTTGTATGGAATGTGAGGGCTAAGCAAGATCTTGATTCGGTACTAGTTGAATTGAAGAAGTCGATTTTCGAAAAAGCCATTGAGGCTTTCTCCTATGGGAGAGATGGTGTCCTTTGATTTCAAGGTCGATTATGTGTTCTGAATGTTTATGAGTTGAGGAATCAGTGAAGTTCTTTATGAGGTCCTTTACTTGAAGTTTTGACTGAAGTCAAATATTTATACTTCAGAAGCTCCCAAAACACGAAAAATTGCATAAAACCAAACAAATGATCAGATGACCGAGCAAGTCATAAATAACTTAGGGTCCTCACAACTTACGGGAAATCTCTAAACGCTGAAAGTACGTAAAAATGGAGAAAATGACTCGAAAGGTCATTACACATTTCTGAACAATTTAGTTGAGAATTCTTGAATACTTCTGGAGATTTCGAATTCTAGAAGCAATCTAGTGAAGTTAATGGTGGTTTCTTATCATGGATGTTTTCTTTCACCCAATGTTTTTTTAATATTGATGCATATATTTATTTTTTTCTCCATTTGATGCTTGATAGAAATAGGAGCGGATACAAAATTTTAAGTTTTATGAAATAGCTTTTTAAAAATTATTTAGTATTGAACTCATCATTTATTTAATACTCCTTATGGATTCATATATTATTTGGTTAATTTTTACATATTAATTTTATCATTTGTCACAAAAATATTGGATTCAAATAAATTCAATATCAAAAGACTATATTCACATCTGGGTACTGCATTGGTAGAATGACTAAGAGGTTACTATAATGAAGGTTTAAATAGGTTCAGCTATAACTTATACTTACAAGTATGTTTAATATTTTAACTCTTTTAAACATTATCCTTATTCATTGTAAATGATTCAAATCAATTAATTGTGAAAATACTAACTCAGGACAATACTAATTCTTCACTTGTCTAGTTATATTATTTTTATTGGTGTAATAATCAATAGATGTGTCTAAATAATTTTTTTTTGTTTTTTAAAGTATGTTTTGTCAAGCTTAGCCAAATGGAGATGAGTTATAAGCAGTGGCGGAGCCAGAATTTTAGTAAGATTCAAAATCTGAAAATAGACACACGAAGTAGTCGAAGGGGGTTTGACATCTATTATATATATCTAAACAATTATCTTAACCATATATAAATAACATAATTTTTCGCCAAAGGGAGTTCGGATGAACCGCATAACTCTAAGGTGGCTCCACCACTGATTATAAGTCATGGAAGGTTGATGTAATGAAGAGAAATTATAATGAAGTGGGACCCATATAGTGCATTTGTCATCATCAATTCATAGAACCCTCGCACAATGCATGCACTTTGTACAATTTTGAAACTTTGTTGAATTGAGAAAGTCATAAGATTGACCAACCTGTTGATCACCGTCAAGTTGTTAATTAAAATACTATCAACTGTACTTGTTTTGAAAAAGAGCTGTCCAATGCCCTTTGTACAATTATGACAAATTGTCTCAACTCATTTCACAATCTGAGGAGTGAGGACAATATAGATTATGAAGAATTATTAGACTGAGAAAGCACTTGTACATTTGACAAATTCACTTTAAGTTGTTTGGTTGTACAACTGGAAGCTGTGTTGAGCTCTGTGAAGTAAAGAATAAAGTAAATAAAGCCTAGTGTCATGTCCCGCCACTGTAATTAGATTCCTGTGTAAGTTGTCGAGTACCGCACGGAACATTAGTGAGACTCTAAGTCCGTGACACTAGCCTCTACAAGCAAACAATGAAAATATATATATATATATCCTATCTAGCATCCAATAGTGTGATGCTTAATTGATTTCCAGAATGTTCGCCAAGCTTGCTAGATGAACTATTAACTTCACCGAATCGGCTTCTGCTAGTAAAAAAACCAGGCTCTTTAGGTGAGGGCAATGGAACATCGCTAGACAACATCAGCACAACTGATGACATGCTAGGCCTATCTTCTGGACACTGCTGCACACACAATAGACCTACATGGACTGATCTTTGCACTTCACATAGGTTGTTGCATAACTCCTTTAGATGTGTATTTATTACTTCCATAACCCTGCCTTCTTTGAAGTGGATCCACACCTGAACATACATTTCACATCATGCAGTTAGATGCTATAATTTTAACTAACATGATTTTTACGCTGTAAGTATAAGATGAGTTCCTACATGTCCTAGAAGATTATGGTGATGGTCTGGATGAATGAACCCTCTATTTCTCGTCCCGCTTAAAATCTCCAGAATTACAACTCCAAAGCTAAAAACATCTGATTTTACTGAGAATTTCCCTTCTTCTGCATACTCCGGAGACATGTAGCCGCTGTAGGATAACGTCAAACAAAGAAAGTAAGTATCTCTTCTTTTTTTTAAATCACAAATAAAGAAAGTTAGCTTTTTAGTAGAGTGTAAGTAGCTCTTTGGTTTAAAGATCTTTACTATGTTCCAACCACTCTTGTTGTCATGGCTCCAGTCTCATTTCCTCCGAAACTTCTTGCCATGCCAAAGTCAGATATCTTCGGGTTCATATCAATGTCTAGCAAAACATTGCTAGGTTTAAGATCTCTGTGGATTATTCGCAATCTTGAGTCTTGATGAAGATAGAGAAGTCCTCGAGCAATTCCATTTATAATATGGAAGCACTTGGGCCAATCAAGCAGTGACCTCCTATCTTTATGTGCAAAAATCAAAAGTTCAGAGAAGTGATAACCAAATCCATCTGCAGCTGATTGAACTATTACTACAGATAACCAAATGTATTAAGAGTTGAGAGAAGTGAGAACCAACCAAAAAGGAACCAATCCAAGCTATTGTTAGGCATGTACTCATAAACCAACATTTTTTCTTCTGCTTGTATACAACAACCAAGAAGCTTCACAAGATTCCGATGTTGGAGTTTAGCAATGAAGATAACCTCATTCTTGAACTCATCCGTTCCCTGTGCTGAGTATCTTGAAAGTCTCTTTACTGCTATTTCTTGTCCATCTTTCAGCGCACCCTACATATCCTCAGGCAATTAGCTTCTCTAGTTTTTCGATTGAAAAATTCTGAGTAAACTTTTTTAGATAGCTTGTTTGAAGTGGAATTAACTTTTAATGACATTTCTGGAGAATCGGAGACATATTTTCTAATCGGGAACTTGTTTCCTTTTAAAGGTTCCGAAAGTTTGTCAATGTTCCAGCATATATAATATATTGAAGATAAGCAGTTTGTTTAGAGAAAAAGAAAGAGCTGTAGTTAACATTGTTACCTTGTAAACAGGTCCAAAACCACCCTCTCCAAGCTTGTTGCTCAAAGAAAGGTTATTGGTAGCCTCCAAGATAGTGGCAAAATCAAACAATGGTAAATCTAGATCATCATTTTTGCTCTTATTAATGTACAACATTTCAGAGCTTCCTGTCAAAATAAGGACTTAATTGGATGTTAAGAGGAATTTCTAGGATTTACCATCAATTCAAGCCACTTATTTCAAATTTCAAAGTAGCAAAACATCCGGTTTACCTTCACTAAAACGTTGTTGATTCTGATTCTCCTCCTCTTTCTTCTTCTTGTTCTTCGTATGCCTAATGTACAAGATCAAGCATAGCACTGAGAGAAGACTTAATGCTGCCAATGGCAAGCTGATTCTCAATTTCTTTAATATCTCTTTACTGGAGTTTCCTGATGATTCATATAAATTCATCTTAGTCTTTTCAAATTTTTAATAGACAGTTCAATTTGGTCTAGAAAACTCAAGACTAATGTAAAGAAGCATACCAACCTGTACTTATCTCTGTCTCAGAGGAGTCCAACTTTATATAGATATCTTGCCCACTTGAACCAAACTCTCTGATGTCCATCAGCTCATCAAACCAAAGCAAGCAGTCTTCATTTGTCCCTGTTGTGTCTAGTTTTGCATAGGCCACACATGAACAGTTTCTCAAGCACAATTCCTCACATGAATTAAGAGTTACTCCTCGACCGTACCAGGAAAATCGAGTGTCTGGCAACTTGATCCCTGAATACTTTAAGAATTTAACTTCCTTTTGGCAATTCAATACTGGTGTCTTTCTAACACAGCCACCTGACCAATTTCCCCTTACCCATTCTGTTGGATCTTTGGGTTCAAATTTATCCAAACAACTGCAGATTGGAGAATTGCCACTGTTGCACAAACCATATGCGTTACATTGGGAATAAATGTCACAGTTGTCTGCTGGTGCGCTACCAAAGTTATCCCAATTCTGAGTTAGATTATTCCATGTCGAAAGCTCTAGAAACCCATGTAGTTGCATCACTACCCTTGCAATAGCAGAAGTGTCAATGAGCTCATAAGTAAAGTATACTTGGTCTGGATCGGATGCAAATATGTATTTATATGAAGGACTTGGTAGTAGAGATGGTGAATTAGCAAAGCTTTGACCATTCCATGCTCCGCCCCTGAAGCGTTGGATGGAACCGTTCATGAGAAATGGCTGTGGGAATCCATTAGGATCAAATATGAAACTATATTGACCATTAGAAGGGTCATTTCTGCTCTTCCATGACCAGAGGAAACGACGAAAACCAGTCTTAAGATCGATCCCAATCTTAACTCCAGGCAAAGCTGTGTCACCAGGATAGTCAAAACTCTGCCATACATAATTCGAATTCTCACTTGCATCTTCTCTAACAACAAGATTGCCTGAATCTAGAAGCTGTGCTATTGGATTTTGCACGCCTCCTCTTGTGGTATTGGAAGACCAAACAACACTGCCAGAACCATTTACAAGAGTAAGATTTCCTTGTGTTGTAAAATTGAGCATACCATTTTTATCATTCAGTGGAGTGTCTCTATTAGCAACCCATACCACTGTCTGTACAGATACTTTGTTGAACCATATTCCCAGGTATCGTTTACTCGATGTTGGAGTTGGGGAGAAAAATCCCAACTCAAAATTTCCACCTGACGAAACAATCGTTTCTCCATCTCTTAAAGGTTCATCTCTACGTATATTATCTGCAGCTCTAGTAAGAATCAAAACACAAAACATGTAAGATAATAATAACAAATGAACATGTCTGCTTTCCATCATCCTTGTTTTACTAAAGGAAATTGCACGATTCTCCTTTGGGATTATTGATGAAATAGCTGATATATAATAATATACTTCCTTTCTTCAACTCAAAATATTTAAGTTTGATTGAAAATTTATTCATCAAATTTTTAAATTTTTTAAATAAAATTTATATATTTATAAACTATAAATAATTAACAATTCAATTTACTTAAAAAATACTATATAAAAAAATTTATAATTAAAAGTAGATTTGATTGAATCACGATATTTAAAATATATCACGTAAATTGATAGAGTGGGATAATAATAGTACATATCAATAGTTGGTCAACTTCACTGAATACAATTATTTTTCTTTCGGTCAAACTGTTGAGGCGACGTCTCTGACTAACACAATTGTCTAGAAACATGGTCACTGCAGCCGCCATCAATAATTTTCTCTTTTTTTTTTCTTTTAGTAAACAGCTTGTCAATAAAAAATAATTTAAAATTCAAAATTAGTTAAAAGGGTCAAATATTTTTTTGAACTACTCAAAAGGTTTATTTACCTATTATAAAAACGGAAAAGGCTCAAAAATACCTCTGAACTATTGGAAATAGCTCACATATACCCTTGAACTATATTTTGGCTCAAAAATACCCTTCCGTTAAAATATTGGGTCACTTTTACCCTTACTATTAACAGAGGTGTGTTAAGTGCCATGTGGACACCATGTGGACACCACATGGACGCCACGTGGACGCCACATAAGCACCAAACAACTCTCACCTCCACATAGACTCAAACATCCTAATTACTAATTTTGCTCTCATTTCTTTTGGGACATACAATTTGACCCACTCTCATTTCTCTAAAATAATAAAATACATTTCCCCTCTTCTCTCTAATATACGATTTCATCTAGGGTTTCAGATTTCCTCTCATGGACGTCATTCCATTTCAAAGTTAATTTCACCCCTTTGTTCATTTCACTGCTAGGGTTTCGAAGTAGACAAAAATTTTGAAACAATGTCTGAATCCTCTATCAATTCACTTGAAAAATTGTATGCAAGAAGATGTCATTGTGGTCTCAATGCTTTAAATTTGACGGCTTGGACTGTATTTGAATAGCAGGGAGAAGGTTCTACAAATGTCCTAGACCCAAAGTAAGTTGTAAATTAGTTTGATGTTTGTATGTTTATATACAAACTCTTATTTGTTAAATTAACATTAAGTATTTCTCTAAATTATTATGTAAACTTGATGGTTGAATTTGTACACTATATGTAGGTCACTTCATGTGGATATTGGGAATGGCAAGACAAAACAACAACTCCCACCAAGAGCAGTAACAGTTATAATGGACTTAAAGAGTAAATTGGATGTTATGAAGGTTGAAAGAAACAAATTGAAACAGATTGTCGATGGAATGGAAAAAGCTGAAAGGGACAATCTGAAAATTTTGTTTGAAGAAATGAAATTTATTTCAGCCCAAGAAGCTGGAAAAGTTATGCTTTTGGAGAAGAAAATCAAAAAATTGAAAACTATCATTTTCATTTCATGTGCTTTGTTCGTTGTGTTTGTTGTAAGGATCATGAAGTGAATGTATGTAAGGATCAAACACTTTAAAACTCAATGTATGAATTGAATATTTGTTGTTTTAGTACTTATGGAGTTTGAATTACAAGTTTATGTATTATTGAACTTGTATTTTGTAATGAAGTTGTTGTACTTATAGAATTTGAATTATGTATTATGCATTATGGAGAGTAGTTGTACAGGGAAAAAATATATATGTTCACCAGCTTGTCATCTTGCGTTACTGGTCATGTTGCTTTTGTCAATATGGATATGGATTTTACTGTTATTGTATCTTATATGAATGAAGTGGAAAAGTTGAAGTATGTACCTGTGGATACGGGTTTTCAGGAAGGTTTGGCCAAACTCTTTGGGCATGCTGGTGAGACTAATGTACAGGCAAGTTGTTAGAAATGCTTGCACTCGTAGTTTGAAAGCATTTAATTCTTGTTTCTTATCAGAATGTTATAATATCTAATTGAAGGGTTAAAGACAAAAAAAAATTAGAAATTGGCTTCTTTGGCTGTGGCAGCAGCCTTGCTTATAACTTCTCTAAGCTTTACTGCAACATCTAAAAGATTAACAGAAAGATTAACAACTTCTTTAAACTTCTACTACCAAAGACAGTGCAACAGCTATAGCAATTGCAGGTCACTCAATATTCAAGAACCTTGTTAGGCATCATCACAACAGTCGGCAATAATAACTAAATAAACTTCACACATTGTCCGACAAGCACTTGTTGATTTTTTTGAAGAGTCCGATCAACAGCCAATATATAGTTAGTTTATCACATTGTCTTCATAAATAAAAATTGGCACATCACTCTGCTGCCTTTAAACAGGATCATGTCGAGGGGTATCTAGAATTGTCCGCCAAGACAAAGACTTACTTTGCTACTGTTGTTAAGCTATGAGATGCAGAGTATTATGTCAAAGTTGATGATGATGTCCATGTAAATATAGGTAACTGAATTTTTGACATTTTCTTTCCGTGTTGGCAATACCGTACTCATCTTATACATCTTACTTTCCCCTAACAAATTAGCAGATAATTTTGTATGGCACAACATTTGTCAAAATTTACAAGTAGAACTAGTGTCCCCTGACTAGTTTGTTTTCTTTGCTATATCAAAATCATTTTGTATTCCTATTGTCAGGTACACTGGCAGAAACACTGGCAAGGCACCGTAAGAAGCCTCGTGTGTACATTGATTGCATGAAATCTGGTCCTGTGCTAGCTCAGAAGTAAGCAGTTTATTTTCTCAGTGAATTCAATTGTAATTTACATTACTTTAGCATCTTATTCTTTTCTACTGAACAGGGGAGTAAGATACCATAATGCATTACCAACATTAACTAAAACTGAAATTTTCGTTACCAACATTAACTAAAACTAAAACTACTAAACAGGGGAGCAGTCACTGAAACCATAATGCATTACCAACATTAACTAAAACTGGAAATAAACTTCACACAAAAGCTGGACATCAACTAAGTAAAGAACCTTACAGTTCTTACCAAAATTTGGACAGTAAGCAGTAATAAAAATCTTCACCAAACTCAACCCAAAATAATAAGAAATGTATTCATTGTTTTGTATCTACCAAATTCAACCCAAAATAAACATAAGCATTCATTGTTTTGCATCTATCAACTTCAACCCAAAATAAACATAAGCATTCATTATTTTGCATCTACCAACTTCAACCCAAAATAAACAAATCACATGCATTGTTTTGCATTTACCAACTTCAAGCAAAAATAAACAAACTAGACAACTTTTTGCACTATCCAAAACACTTCAAATCTGGGATTTCCCATTAGTTTTTCTTGTCTTCAACTTGTCCACCTTCTTCTGTCTCTCTCTTTCCAGCTGATTGCCAGTGACAGCTTCTTTTCCTTTCCAAGTGAGATTAGTAGGTGAGTAAGGCAAATCTGTAGGCTCACTAATTCCAGCATGATCACCTCTAAAAGATATAACTCTATTTCCAGTTGCTCTTTGTTGATTCATCCTCATTTTCAGTTTTGTGCGATTTTCAGATATGACTTGAGGCCTTATATCTGGATCACTTTTAGGCTCTCTAGCAGGTCCAAATGGTTCATACTGTAGTGAGGACATGAAATGGTATTCTTCATCTTGTGTTGGTCTAGGGGCTGAGCTATTAACATCATAATCTTCTCCATGGGGTTCTTCAACCTCTTCTTCAGATTCTTCTTCAGACTCTTCCTCAGTTCTGCCCTTTTTTCTCTTCAATGTTGGCCCTTGTTCTCCTTTAACAAACTGAAAATACAATGTTTATGTGCAGTTAACTACATAGTACTAATAACAGTGAGACATGTAAATAAGTAATGTTCTTACATTGCATGTTCTTGCATTGTGAGTTGTTTCACCACACTTACTACATGTCATTTTAGTTCCTTTTCTTGAGTGAGCCCACTCTCCAGCTCTTTTAATTGCTGCATCCTTTTCCCTAGTTCTTTTGGTCTTTGGTCTTCCCACTGTTTTCACAAGATCAGGTGGATCAATTGCGTGTTCTAGCAATACATTCCAGAATTGTTCACCTCTTACAGGCATCAACTTTGCCCTATATGTCATCAAATAAGCTTCCTTACCGTACCACCAATTAATTTCATTCTTTGGTTCTATCTTCTGGTACAACATAGCTTTGATGGCATGAGGGCATGGAATGCCAGTCAACTGCCATGACCTACATGTGCATTTTTTCTCAACCAAGTTCACTGTGTGCCTATCTTCACCCTCAGACACTTCATATCCAAGATCACCATTGAAATCGACACTACATAATTGAGCTATTCTCATGTATGCAGTGAACAATTTCATGCACTTAGGACTATAATCAGTAGTCCATTTGCTTGCATCTTCTTCCTTCTCTCTTAACATGTTCATTATCTTGATTCTTATATCTTCAAGCATTTTTAGGATTGGCTTACCTCTTGCTTCCAGGATCCAAGAGTTGAAAGACTCTGTGAAATTATTATCCACCATTTGATTTTTTGCATATAGTATCCAAATATGCCCTACACCATGTCTGTGGTGGATACTTAAGCAAATCTTTGGCAGCACTTTTTGACAATGCACCAAGTGCACTCAACTGATCCTTGAAATCTTCCTCATAAGTACTCCAAGCAGCCCACCAAAGCAGTTTCTTCATCTCTCCTGACCTAAATCTCTTCATCCAGTTGGCCTCAATATGCCTAACACAGTACGCTATAATCAGTAAAATGAATAGTTAGTTAATATGTTCAAGAGAACAAAATAATTAAAGCAACTTAAAGTACCTGTGGTGAGACAAAGGAAGGACAATTTTTACTGCATTTATCAGTCCATATACATGTCAAATAAGCAAATATACAGTTACAAACTGTTATAAAAAAGACAAAATTATTCAAATAACATAAAAAACTATTTACCTTCTGCATATCAGACATAAAGGTGACAGTTTGACCATCTTTCAAATTTAATGAATTGTTCAGCAGTTGTAGAAACCATATCCATGTCCTAGTTGTCTCCTTATCAATTTTTACTGCATTTATCAGTCCATATACATGTCAAATAAGCAAATATACAGTTACAAACTGTTATATAAAGAAGACAAAATTATTCAAATAAACAGAAAAAATTATTTACCTTCTGCATATCAGACATAAAGGTGATAGTTTGACCATCTTTCAAATTTAATGAATTGTTCAGCAGTTGTAGAAACCATATCCATGTCCTAGTTGTCTCCTTATCAACTACAGCCCATGCCAATGGATAGAAGCAATTCTGAGAATCTTGTGCCATAGCCACCAAAAGTTGTCCCTTGCATTGACCCTTCAAGAAGGTCCCATCTAGTCCAATAAAGGGTCTCAAACCTTCTTTCCATCCCAACTTCAGAGCATTAAAGCAGATGTACATCCTAAGGAACTTTCTTTTACCTTGTTCCAATGCATCCTTTGATAAATTGATCACAATATCACTACCAGGATTGCTTAGCCTAAGCTCATTTGCATAAGCCTCAATTCTGTTGAAATCATCTAAGAAACTTCCCTGCAATTTTTGAAGGGCCATCCTCTTGGCTCTTTTCAACTTAGAGGTACGAGCATTCAAGTTGAACTGATCCTTCAAGTCTTTTCTCATATCCTTTAGCTTGTACTGAGGATTATTCTGCAGTTTACTCTTGAAATATTGTGCTAAAGTACTTGTGCAAGCTCTAGGATTTTTAAATGCATCCTCACAATTGTGATTTATTTTCAGTGTTTTAACCTTAAAACCTGGACCTTTACCATCTTGTGAAATAAGCAAGACAAATGGACAACCAATCATGCATTTATACCTTAGTCTAGTTCTGTCACTTTTTCAAACTACTATAGGCTTGGAATTTGCAAGAGAATATAAATTCACAATTTTTCTTGCCTCATTCAAGTCCTTGAAAGTCATGGAGGGATGAAGTTCTTTGTAGTGACTGAGATCAGCATTTACTTCTTTAGATTTCAGCATCTTGATAAGCTCTAACTCATCAAAGTTATATTCATCATCACTAGACTGGTCATCATCACTTTCTGTTTCAGCATCAGTTCCATATTCACACTCTACCAAGTATGCTTCACTATGGTGAATAATATTTGGTGCAAAAACAGTTTCTTCAAAGTCATCCACAGCAAAGAAATGAACTACCTTAAATTGTTCATTTAATAGGCATTGGAGTGTCTTAATTCCTTCAGATCCCTCAAGCAAGTAAAATTTCCCAGAAGGCCCTTTCACTAGTATTTGTTTCACAAGCACAAATCCTAAGTCTTTTGTGTACTCTTCCACTATCTTATCATAGTCTAAGAGATCTGCACTAGTGTCTCTCCTAGTAGCAACATACTTCTTGTCATATACTAGTAGTGGTTTTGTAATCCATTTACCCCCATAATGCAACATAAGGTCAACCAAAAGATCTTTCATATTGAACTGAGAAAGAAAAGTAGACAAAAGCAGACATAAATGAATAAGAAACACAAACACACAAGAACTAAATAAAGAATGGAGTGAAAATAACACAACAAACATAAATAAATAATGAGCAAAATAACTCCTTACTGCCATAAAACACACATGAGCTACATGTTTATTACAACATAAATGAATAAGAAACACAAACACACAAGAGCTAAATAAACAAGTCATTACACTTTAGAAATCTATACTAAAAGAGAAAAAACAAACAGTGACCACAGAGTTATTACAACATAAAGAATGGAGTGAAAATAACTCAACAAACATAAATGAATAAGATACACAATAAATAAGTCATTACACTTGGGCATTGGGACCCCACACATCAAGTCCTTACAGGGGCCACATGTTTTATAACATAAACAATAGTGGAAAAATTTATGACCAAATAGGCCTTAAACTTTAGGAATCTATATTGAAAGAAATAAAAAAACATATAGGGCCCACATGTTTAATACAACATAAATAATAGTTGTAAAAGCTCTAAACAAAAAGATCATAATAAATAATGAAAAAAGGGCATTTGGGACCAAGTCCTGACTGTTATGCAGAAATGAAGTAAAAGAAAGAAAAAAGCATACAGGGGCCACATGTTTTACAACATAAACAATAGTGGAAAAAAATGTGAACAAACATGTCTTAAACTTTAGGAATCTAAACTAAAAGAAAGAAAAAACATACAGTGGGGCATAAACAGAATAGTGAGGTCTAGTAGTAGTATGTATTATTGTTAACTTTTGCAAGTGTTTTGAAAGTAGTCAAGTCTATCTGCTACAATGTTCATTTACATAGTAGGACAACTAGACAAGTAAATGACTCAGCTCCTTTTAAGTTACTATTCATGTTGTATTTCTTGTTCAATGAAGTGATGCCTCATATGAAAAAACTATTCCTTTTGTTTCCATTTGATTATTCTTGTCTTTAGTTTTTGTAAGCAGCAAATTAAATATTAGTATATTCAACTATTTCATAATAAACAGTCCATAATAAACAAGCCATAATAAATAGAGGGCATTTAGGATAAACAATAGGACCACAACATATAAGACAACATTCTCAAAAGATTACAAAAGGAATAATAAACAATGAAAAGGGGCATTTGGGACCACACACATCAAATTCAAACTAGGACTAAACAATATATATTCATATACTAGTCCATTAAATACTACTACTTTAACTCAAGTATTCCTTAAATCCAACCTTGACAGAATAGGACCATATTCTGGAAAAGGATCAAAACTTTTACTAATAGTTTAAACTATTCGGAATAAACAATAGATTATTTGCTTAACTCAAATAAACAAATATTTTTTCCCTAAATCTAACATACCAAAATATTATAAACAAAGTCGCAAAGCCTAACTATCCACAACTTTGAAATCATAAACATCATAAAATAAGAACAAAGATTAACTAACCTACAGCCGCGAAGTCAATTTTGAAATCCAACCACGAAATGAGGGAAATCTGTGAACCCTAGAGAGGAATAAACAAAAGATTCTTTGTTTAACTCAAATATACAAATAATTTCCCCCTAAATCTAACATACCCGAATATTATAAACAAATTCGCAACCCTAACCAAAAAAACATCTTTGAAATCGCAAAACTAGAACCATCGCGAAATAAGAACAACGGATTTACTAACCTACAGCCGCCAAAATCCACTTCGAAACCCTAGCAGTGAAATGAACAAAGGGGTGAAATCAACTTTGAAATGGAATGGCGTCCATGAGAGGAAATCTGAAACCCTAGGTGAAATAGTATTAGAGAGAAGAGGGGAAATGTATTTTAGAGAAATGAGAGGTCAAATTGTATGTCCCAAAAGAAATGAGAGCAAAATTAGTAATTAGGATGTTTGAGTCTATGTGGAGGTGAGAGTTGTTTGGTGCTTATGTGGCGTCCACGTGGCGTCCATGTGGTGTCCACATGGTATCCACATGGCACTTAACACACCTCTGTTAATAGTAAGGGTAAAAGTGACCTAATATTTTAACGGAAGGGTATTTTTGAGCCAAAATATAGTTCAAGGGTATATGTGAGCTATTTCCAATAGTTCAGGGGTATTTTTGAGCCTTTTCCGTTATAAAAATATCAAACTTTTTTTTTTGGCATAACATATAAACATGACCCTTAACTTGACTTTAGCAGACAATTATGCGTTACAACTTTGAGTGTGCACAAGTAGACACTTAAACTTGTATAAAATTAAATAAGTAGACAGACTTGTCTTACATGGCATAATACACATATGATGCCACGTAGGACACAAAATTGTCATGTAGGGTGCCATGTAGGACGATTGTGTCTATTTATTCAATTTTATACAAGTTTAAGTGTCTACTTGTGCACACTCAAAGTTGTAACGCATAATTGTCTGCTAAAGTCAAGTTAAGGGTCATGTTTATATGTTATGCCTTTTTTTTGGGTTAAAACAACATATCTGACCTTTTAAAAATATGTGTCTTCCTTGCCAAGAATAAAAAATTGTTTTACCCCTAAAATATATGAAATAATTTGAATTTGCTGTAAATAAATATTGTATATTTGTATACCCCTAAACTATTTTTTTTTTTTTGTTTAAATGATATTCATGGTCTTTAATTTAGTCCATAATTTTATCATAAAAAATCAAAAATATGGTTGTACAGTTATAATCATAATTTTAATAAAAGAAAAATAGTCTTTATTAATTAATCACTTTTTTTTATCATTCAAACAAATCTCTATAACTCTTTGCATCATACATTAAAAGGAAATGATGCAAATAATTTATAAGAAAAGACAATCAATCACCCTTGAGTAAAAAAATATAAAAAATAAGTGTAAATTAAACATAAGGTGATATACGACGAATGCAAACATGAGATGCCAGTTGTCTGTTATTTTAATTAATTTTTTAGTCAAGCATTTCTTTGTTCTTTAAAATATTTTTTAAATAAAATTAACAAATAAGATGTTCTCTTGAAATCCAATTGAAGGTGTGCGAGAGAGAGAGATTAGACTACTTCAATTTAATATCTTTTTAATTCTTCATGAAGGAAATAAAAGGTTAGAGTGATAAATATTTAGGTCTTTAAATTGTATAATAATGATAAGAATAAGTGAAGTAGAAAATTTTGAAATATTTAAGTTTTTATAATAAATAATATCATTGAATGGAGGAGTAGTAATTGACATATTTATTTTTGTATGATAATAATAATAATGATAATAAATAAAAATATTGTGAAATTTGTTTTAAAAGAGAAAAAAAAAGATTATTCGAATCAGTAACTAGAGAGAAGTGACACATCATTTTTCTAATTATCATTATATAAAATAAATAGGATAATAAATAAAAAGGAAAAAATAGGAGAAAAAGAAAATAATATAATTCTTAATCAAACAGACATGTTAGAAAAATTTTATGGTGGATGAGACCATCTCCAATCCACCTCTATTTTACTCTCCATTCTTTATATTTGGAGAGTAAAATAGAGAATGGGCACTCCAATCCACCTCCAAATCACCGTCGATTCTTCAAATTTAGAGAGTTGAATAGTAGTTCTCCAAATTTGGAGAACTACTATTCAACTCTCTAAATTTGAAGAATCGACGGTGATTTGGAGGTGGATTGGAGTGCCCATTCTCTATTTATGATTAATTTTCATTATAAAGAATACACAAAATTAAAATGGCA